TGTCAAATAAATAAATAAAATCTTTAAAAAAAAAAAAACAAATGTTAGTTATCAGTATATTTAAAACAATGACTATTTGGCAAATTATGGAAATATGGGCGCTTTATGAATTATCCCACATTCTACAAAATTATAAGGAATTACAATACTATTCCGGGCACTTGCTGCCACATTTTCTACAACTTCAAATATCCAGAACAGAGTTACAAAATCTGAAAAAAGAGGAGACTCCTAGTCTGAAGTTCTCAGTAGGAATCCATGTTGTCCCCTGGGGGATAGTTGGCAAAGTCTGCAGACATTTTTGGCTGTCCCAGCCAGCACATATGTGCTACTGACAGTGGACGGACCGAGACCAGGGATGCTCTTCACCATTCTGCAATGCCCAGGACAATACCACCGCACCACAAAGCAGTGTCTCCTCCAAAGTGTCAGCTGTGCCAAGATTGAGAATACCCGGCCGCGGGCTGAGAAGACGAGAACAGAGCTGCCACAGAGCCTGGGATTGTCACCCCGAGAGAATCACAGAATGTGGAGGAGTTATCCCCATGCTATTCCACCGAAGTCTACTTGACTCCGACTTGGAATTAAATTTTGGGCTCCTGGTTTTGGGCCAGCCTGGGTATTTTGCTTCTGCTGCCGATCTCAGCTCTTCCTGAGCACACTAGACCTTCAATTAAATGCAATAAGGTGTCAGGGGATTGGAAGGCCCCTTCCGAAGCTGATTCAACAGGGAAGTGACAGCCACCTCTGCAAAATCAATTATGAATTTATAAAGCAAGCGCCTGGAAGGATTCAGCGAAAGAGGAGGGGCCAGTCCCAGAGGTGTCACCAAATTTTAGCACAGAGCAATCCGTGATGTCAGTAGGACGTCTGGGAAACCAAGAGAAGGGTACACTCATCCCTTTCTGTTCAAAAATGCAGGAAAGACTTCATAAATGTTGGAGAAATTTCTATCAGAAGTTGTTGGACTAAAAAGTGGGATTCCTTGGAGTATAAGCTAGTCTTGAAAACACCACTAAGATGGAATGATAATTTGTACACTACAGAGCTCCATAAGTTAAGAATTAATATAATTTTCTCTAGGCAATTAAGTCATACTCATCATTTCTTTACCTTAAAAAAAAAAAAACACCAATGCATCTAACAGACTAAATTTTGCTTAAGATAAATGTGGAAATTATTAAATCCAAAACAAAGAGAAAACCTGATACTAGCCACTTAAGATCAAATGGGATTTTTCTGAGGCACCTGGGTGGCTCAGTTGGTTAAGCGTCTGACTCTTGATTTCAGCTCGGGTTGTGATCTCAGGGTGGTGAGATCGAGCCCAGGCTGAGTGTGAAGCCTGCTTAAGATTCTCTCTCTCCCTCTGCTTCTCCCCCCCAATCTCTCTCTCTCTAAAACAAAACAAAGAGATTTTTCTGTTTCAAGATGATAGAGTAAATGTTGATTTCTCTGCACTCTAGTCTCAAAAACTCCCCCCAAAGAAAACAAGATAAAGAAATACAATCTGACAAAATTGTGTCAGATCTGACAAAACTAGAAGACATTTATAATCTCCAAATTACAATATATGAAGATAGAAATCAGATGGAGGAGTCCCAAATGACTCAGCAAGAGAAGGAGATGCAAGCTTACAAAGGGAACACCAGTGAGAAGCACGTCACCCAGGGCTTTAAAAAGCCCTGAAACTAGACTCCTGGGTAGCTTGAAAGGCGAGGCAGGGCTGAAAACAGGGAACTGATTCAAAACATGTATAAAAAAAATAGATTCCCACAGAGCTCTGTCTACAGATCTCCCTACCCCACAGAAGACCTGAAATTTTTCTCTTTAAAAAACCAAACAATCCTAGAGGCTCTGGATTTGGGGGCTCCAGACACAGGAGGGCAGGTGTGATATGATGGATAAAAACCAAGAACTCAGTCAGTGGATAGCAGCAGACTGAAGAGTGAGACACCCTAGCTCGCCTCCTCCTTCCAGCTCCAGGACACAAGGTAGCCAGGCTTCCAACAAACAGAAATTAAATAAACTAAAAATGTAATCGGGAACAGAAGAAAATCTCAAAGAAATTATAATGACTATCCCTTGAAGAAGCTCTTGCTTGCATAAAACAAAAGAAGGATATTCTTAGAAAGGAAAAAGGAGCTCTTGTAATGTGAAAATTACAATAACAATGGGCAATCAAAGAAAAATAAGAAGAGCGGGGGAGGAAATTATAAAAAAAAAAAATACTATAAGCAAATAATGTCCCAGATCTGTAAGGTTTAAGTCTCCAAAACACTAAGAATCCACTATGATAAATAAGACCCACACCCAAACATATCTTTATAAAACTTCAAAACATCACACATGAAGAGAAGATTCTAGAAGCTTCCAGAGAGGAAACAAAAAATAAAACAAATATATAAAACCAAGCCAAAGGAATCCGCATGGTACCAGAAGTCCTAGTAGCAACATCTGAAGCTCAAAGAATGGAGGGATAATGACTTCAAAATTCTGAAGGAAAAGACTTTTCACCCATGATTTTTACACTCGGCCAAACTGTCCATTGCGATGGTAAAATACATTTTCGGATTCACAGATCCCCCCAGAATTTCTCATGCCCCAATTCCATAAAGCTGTAAGACGAATGCGCTCCACAAAAATGAGGCAGAACACCAAAAAGAAGATACAAGATCCAGAAATCAAGGGTGCCAACATAGGAGAGAATTCCCCGAATGAGGGAGGAGATAGTCCCAGGAGAGCAGCTGTATA